TTTTTTTTTTTTTTTTTTTTTTTTTTTTTTTTTTTTTTTTTTTTTTTTTTTTTTTTTTTTTTTAAGATCTGTGAATTGTATGCAATATACCAACCTGAGTTCAGATTGGCTTCCACACAAATCATCCCATCTGAGTGCTGATTAAAATCTTATCACATCATACGTTCTGCATATGGCACATGGTACAATTTCTAGAATACTTTTATTTGAGCTCTAACACAATCTATTGGTTTGTATTTTGTATCTCTTTCCATATAAAGGTAGGTGTATTTGCTACTGTAAGTCTCACAGTATCATATTCAGAGAGGGAAATAATTCTTAAAATGACCTCAATATTTTTTTTTATACCTAAACATGTAATCACTTCTAGGGTTAGGTAAAAGTGAGTGCCGGATCCCATTTGGAATCTCCCTATTCCAGCGATATAAAGTTTCTAGCCCTGCAGGGTTGTGAATAGAAAAGCTCTCGCTGGGCCAGGATGGAATCTAGCTAAACTAATTTTAGCCATGACCCCACCTTTTCCACCTGGACTCTGTACATGGCAAATCTGGTTCCTCATCCTACTAGTTCAGAGTATGTCAGTGCAGAGTTCTGATGGGAGTCTAGATGACATTAGTCTGTGAAGGTGGTCCAGTATGGGAAGGGGACTGGGATTCAGATGCACCTTTTGGCTCCGGCTGGTGGTGCTGCTGCTGCAGAGGAAGTGTAGTAGTTAGGGAGGGTTGGGAGGAGGTTAGACTAGACAACCGTATACGAAGTTAGTAGGTATAGATGATGTGGTGATGTTACCAGGGTCTAAAGGCTGTGAATATCCATTGCTTTTCGTGCTGGGAGTTTCTGGGGATCTGGACCTACTCCCATGGGACATCGCTATTTTGCCAGCCCGCATGGCGGGGGGGAAGGAGTACATGCAGCTTTGTACCAGTGGGATGTCTGAACAGATACCCCTGTGTTCAAGAGTGGCGGCCTGGGCTGTACCTACCTCACTATTGCTGCTTTTTGGTGTTAGAAATCTGGAGCCTGCTTGGGTTGGGTGTAGTTTTTCCCCGCTCCTGTGGGGAGCCACAGCAAATGTAACCACCTATTAAATTATATCTTCAAGACAATCATCTAAAAATTTCGCCTGATACTGACCACTGCAGTTACCTGCTCGTAACTTTCTTTACTGTCAACTAGATGTGGGCCAGGATCCATGCTCCAGATATGACCTTTGTATTTCTAAAATGACAGAGCTAAACTTTGGATCTTAAATTCTCTCAAACTCAGCAGTTCAAAATCCAGATCTGAATCTGAAGGTTGGGTTGGTGCGTTTGGATTTGGCCCATTAAGGAGAGAGGAGTGAGCTGTGATCTCCGATCTAACTCCGGACCATTTGGGTTCAGATTCATGCTTACTATTGTCTCCTGTCATGTTCTCTGTTACCAAGGCAACAAAGCAAATTTTGGCCCTTCTCACTCTATCACTTTCTCCCTCCATATAAGACCTCGTCTAGACTACAGCGTTAGGTGGACATAAGGCAGCTTACGTCAACCTAATTGTCTGTGTACACACTACAGCCTTGCTTCCACTGATGTAAGTGCCCTACTACACTGACATAACTCCACCGCCATGAGTGTTATAGGGCTTATGTTGGTGTAGTTCAGGGAATGCAGTGTCCTTGTAGACATTGCCTTACTTGCATCTGTTGGCTGTCATTCTTGTCACTTTCACATTTCTTCTGGACCCTGTGAAATTGACAAAAAAGCTGGCTCCTGGCTCCCCAGCCAGGCTGCTGCCTGGGCTCCACTCCAAGCTGGGCTGCTGCCTGGGCTCCCCATGGGGAGCCCTGCTGCCCTCCTGGCTCTCCACTCTGATCTGGGCTGCTGCCCTGTCTCCCTGCTCCAATGCAGGCTGCTACCTGGGCTCTCAGCTCCCACTCCCCACCAGGAATGGGGCAGATGCACCGGGCTTCTTGGCTTTCCGCCGGGAGCCTGACTGCCCCCAGCAGGGAGCTCCACGCCTGGAGTCTGTCTGGTTGGCTGCCTTGCTCCCGGTGGGAAGTCCGGAGGTAGCAAGAACTCTACTGCTTCTACAGCTCTGTTACTCCCCCTCTAACTAGAGGAAAAGTCCAGAGGCTATGCGGAGTGGCACATGCCACTTGATTGTTCCCCCTGTTCTTTATTTTGAAAGCCTTATTGATCTACTTTCTTCTCCCTGTGCAGCTTGAAAGTTCACTTGTACTGTTCACCGGTAACCAAGGAGTTGCTGCTGACTAGCCCGAAATACAAGTTTTGGGAGAATCGCATTGTAAGTTAACTTTTTCACATTAAAGCAAGTGTCATTAATTGTTAATCAGATCAGAGTCTGTACTTTTCAATATGGTGGATTTGGGAGGAACAATCTACTCCAAAGTGTCCAAAGCAACAGTCTTTAAGTGGTGATGCTGGTATCCAATTCTACAATGTCCTGTGGGTTTAATTTCCACCCACCCCATCCCATCCCCTCTCAGGTTATGTCTGCACTACAAATTACTTTGGTATGACTTATATCGCTCAGGGGTGTGAATAAGCCTTTTCCCTCCCCCTGAGCGATGTAAATTACACCGACACTAAGCACCAGTGTAGACAACACTGTGTCAGCGGGAGAGCTTCCCCTGCTGACATACCTACCTCCTCTTGCGGATGCAGGAGTTATTAAGCCAACGGCAGAGCTCTCCTGTCAGCTTAGAATATCTTCACCAGAAGTGCTACAGTAGTGCCGCTGCACCACTGTAAATGTTGTAGTGTCGACATAGCCTCAGTGTCTGTTGTGTGCTCTTTGGAACAGCACATTTATTTCTATTCAGCCAGTAGTCCTATCTTTCTCGCCACAAACTTCGCAATTCTCTTGATTTCTCTTTTAGTTTCTCTTCCTCTCCTCTAAATGTGATGCTGTCCTACCTTGCCGTATTTCTGCAACTCTCTCTCCCTGCCCTCATTTATTTGTATCCCTTCTTTTACTTCTCTCTTTCTCTTGGTTTAAGGTCTCCTTTTTTGTGTGTGGGGAGGGGGTCGGGGGAGGAATCTTTGAGGGAGTGCTATTTCCCTCCTGCTTTTATAATGTCTTCCTTCCAGCCTCAAAAGCTTCATATAATGATGCAAAATCACCCCAGAGCCTAATCGTCTCCATGAATTTAGCTATAAACAGAGTGAATATAAATACTAGTCATTGAGCAAGTGTTGGATTATATAAATGTGACCTACTTGCAGTTCGTCTTTTCAACATGGCATTTATCTACAATGAACGCTCATCACACTGTCTAGATGGTACTAGTCTTACTTTGTACTCATAGCAACCTGTATTTTGTAAGCTCCTCAGACAGGGATCCTGTTCTTATTTGGCAAACGCTACCTTTTGTAAAGTGCTGTAAAACCTACTGTATTGTTCTTTATACCTAAAGCATTTATAAGTACTTAATATGGTATTTTACATATTTAACAGCATTGCATGAACATCAAGTTCCATTTAGCTTTCTGTAACACTTGTATAGAAAGTTTTGTTTCTATTACTTTGACTTTGTGTATCTTCAGTAATCTACAAACAAAGGAACTTGGTGGCATACTAATATGATGGGTGAGGTGTAGGGTTTTTTAATTCTACAATCTACCTAGCGTTGTGGGTTTTCAAAGTATACTGTACTAGGTTCTCATTTTTGAGGGAGGTAAGGTTACAGTAGGTCATTTGAAAGTTTTAGTTTTTTTACAGATTGCAGTGTTTCTATGTAATATCTGAGATTATACATGGAGGTTTCCTGTAGTGCTACATATTATCCTGATCATCTGATTTTAAAGCATACATGTAATAAGAGTTTTATAGTTGCACCTTCTAGATTTGCGTGCCTGAGTACACAAATTTAAAAAGCAGAAGAGTTGTAGATGTTGCTGCCTGTAATGGCTTGCAGTGATATAGTGAACTGTACAGCTAGAGCCCTGCGCGGATACACAATTTGTATCTGCATCTGATCCATGATCTGCAAAAATGATCCACATATATCTGATATGAAGCAGATATCTGCAGATTTGCAAGGCTCTCTGTACAGCCACTAAATCAGAAAGTTGAGTGGGTGTCTTGTTCATGAACTTTGTCTCATAACAAATGGTAAGCTTTCTGTTGGCATCACTGGGCTTTACAATGTAAAGTTGATTAAAACTGGGTTGGTATTCATTAGACTAGGAGAGGTGTTCAAAATGCCAGCTTCTGTCTAAATAATTTATGATTTGCAATCTGAGCTTGATGAGAAGTCTGTGAGTGTGAATAAGATATCTAGAGAGCATCTTTTGATCTATTGACAGCTGAAAATTAAAATTGTCAAGAATATGGCCAGAAATCTATCACTTACTTGTGCTTATGAAAGCAAACTTCCTTTTGCTGGTCATAAAACAGTTTTTCAGGAAATTTAGATGCAAAACTTAGATATCTGATAATTCCAGTGGGAAATAGGTTTATCTGTGGAATGAAATATTCCTAACCAATGTTTGAAACCCCAATGCTGCAGCATTGTACTAAGTCATGAGAGTAGCAAAGTGAAAACTGTTCAGCCTGTTTTAATTGTCTAAGCTGAGTGAAGTGCAAAAAGTGTATCAGTATTAATTATAGTTTTTAAATCTTTTGATAGTCCAAGGTATTATGAATTTCACTTCTTGTATTGTTAATACTACAAAAGTGACACACAGCTATTGTTCCTTACATATCAGCTTCTTGCATTTTTGGCAAATGTAGCTATATTTTGTGGCTAGGTAATGTACAAGTTTGATACACTTCTATGTATTTTGTTTAAATCTTGGCTAGCTAGCTGGGAAATCCAACACCACAGCTCTGAGATTGTCTCATCACAGTCCACATTATTGTTGTACACAAACCATTAAATATTAAACTGTAAGATATCCATGCCTTATAGACTCAAAGAGCTCACTCGCTATCTCTTTAGCTTAACAAAGAAAAGGCAGAGGGGTGACTTGATTACAGTCCGTAAGTACCTACATGGGAGAACAAATATTTAATAATGGGCTCTTCAATTTAGCAGAGAAAGGTATAACACACTCCAATGGCTGGCAATTAAAGCTAGACAAATTCAGACTGGAAATAAGGTGTACATTTTTAACGGTGAGAATAATTAACTACTGGAACTGTTTAACAAGGGTCATGGTAGATTCTTCTTCACTGACAATTTTTAAATCAAGATTGGATGTTTTTCTAAAAGTTATACTCCAGGAATTATTTGGGGGAAGATGTATAACTGTAATACAGGAAGTCAGACTGGTCCCTTCTGGTCCTGGAATCTTTGAATCTATTTGTTATCATAACAAACCTAGAGTGCTGTGTAGGCTGGTTGCTTAGCTAAGAAACTGGGATATCAAGTGTTGCAGCTCTTGCTTAGAGGGATGATGACCCCCCATTCTTCCAGTTTTCCCCCAGTGTTGGGTTTTTATCCTGTAGAGACCAAATGATCCTCTCTGCTTTTTGGCAGGAGAAGGTGAAATGCTTGGAAATATTGACCAGAACTGAACAGAAAATTTGAGGGTAGGAAAGGAGCCTAATTAGCAGTATCTTTCTCCCCATCAGTAGTTCAGAGGGGCTTCTATATGGTACAGTAACTCCTCACTTAAAGTCGTCCCGGTTAACGTTGTTTCATTGTTACATCGCTGATCAATTAGAGAACATACTCATTTAAAATTGCACAATGCTCCTTTATAACGTTGTTTGGCAGCCGCCTGCTTTGTCCACTCCACAGCCCGTTGGAGTTAGCTGGTGGGGGCTTGGAACCAGGGTGCACCAGCAGCCCCACATCAGCTTCCCGTTCCCCTAAGTTCCCTGTGCGGCAGCCGTCCAGCAGACTATCAGTTGCCGGGCAGTTCAGCTGTCCCTCCCCCCACTGCCATGTGCCTCTCCTGCCCTCTGCCTTGGAGCTTGCTGGCAGCAGCTGCTATCTTAATTTGCTGATCTACTTAAAAAGGCAATGTACTTAGAATGTGGTCAGCGTACTTAAAGGGGCAATGCGCCTCTCTCTGTCTCTCTCTCTGCGTCATGATGTCTCCCCTCCCTCCATTCATGCTGCCTTGTAGAGTGTGAAGTTACGTTAACAACAACATGTTAGCCCTTGAGGGCTCAGCCCAGTGCTAGTTCATCATTTACCAGTAAGGCGTTCCCTGGGAAATAGCCCACCCTCTGACTTTACCACCTCACCCAAGCATCACAATCATCATTGCTGTGTACAGTGTTAAATTGTTTGTTTAGAACTTATAGTGTGTGTGTGTGTGTATGTGTGTATATGTATATGGGGGGAGGGATAGCTCAGTGGTTTGAGCATTGGCCTGTTAAACCCAGGGTTGTGAGTTCAATCCTTAAGGGGACCATTTAGGCATCTGGGGCAAAAAAATTGGTCCTGCTAGTGAAGGCAGGGGACTGGACTTGATGACCTTTCAAGGTCCCTTCCAGCTCTATGAGATGGGTATATCTCCTTATATTATTATATATAGAGAGAGAGTCTTTTGTCTGGTGAAAAAAATTTCTCTGGAACTTAACCCCCACTATTTACAATAATTTTTATGGGGAAATTGGATTCGTTTAACATTGTTTCACTTAAAGTAGCATTTGTCAGGAACATAACTACAACATTAAGCGAGAGTTACTGTATGTTAGTTTGAAGCTCTAAGGGTATTTGGAAGGAGGATGGGGCAGAATAGGGGGGATAACTCATCTCCGTGTTAATATGAGAAATTCCAACAGCTTGCTGATTTCTGAAAAGCTGCTTTGTGGCTTCTTCCTTCAGGGGTGAGGGGATAGAGTCTAGGAATCAATGGGAAGCTAAAGGAAGCTGTGCTGATGTGGTGATGGTCACGATACAGAGCGACATCTCCACGGGAAAGGCTCAGGATCTGGGGAATTTCGATATCACTGGGCTGTGAGGGCTGCACTCCCTGTCTTCTCCACAGGAAGACATACCTGCCACAGCCAATGACATGATGATGCTTTGCAAACCCCACAACCTCAAAACCCCCACAGAGTTCTCAGAGTAACTTGTTGGTGCCTCCTGGATTTTCCCTTTAGGGAATGATATGGTCCATAATGCAGAAAAACAATAAGCCACTCTCTGTTTCCAGCTCTTGTGAGACTTGTGATCAAATCATGGTAGCTTATATTGAAGCCCCACCACCTGGAGTCATATTACTTTGTGAGATGCTTAACTTTTATTGTCAAGTGTGCTTCTAATCCACAGGATTGAAGCTTGAACACATGTCCCCAATGTGCCGTACAAGTTCAAAGCCCACAAGAAATGAAGAACTCTGTCATTTAAAAAAACAAGCTTGGGTTTTTGTTTTATCTCATGATGTTTTGGGGGCAGGGGATAAAGAGGAGTCTGATTCATGTTTGCTTGTTTGTGCAGGGTTGTTTTTTTTAAACACTTGAGGCTGGCGTCATTGCTTTCTCAACCAAAAATAAGCCATATAATAGTGAGAAAATCAACACAACTTCTTAAAAATGTTGGGATCTCAGATGTAACATTGTCTTTTGATCCAGGTGTGCTCGGCTTAGTTAGCTTCTATCCATTACATATTTACAGTTGTCAGAATGTATTTTTTTTAATTGAAATTGAAAATATGTGAGTTTTTGGGGACGTTTTATTTGTTTTCCTTTTTCTGCAGACTTGGACTGCTTGCCCTGGGCACGTTGAAGTTTAAGATGTCTGTGGCATATCAGGCAACACCTAGATATAATCATACATCAAACACAATGTGTACTACATTTTATGATGCATTTTTTGTTTGTTGTAGGTTGCCCTTGAAGTTGAAACTCCAACTCAGATTTCTTTACTTGATGAAGCATCTGGTGAGGTAACCATTTAAAAACAAGTATTTTTAACAACCAATTTAAAGTTTTAAAGAATTTTAAGTTGATATTTAAATCATAAATGTCGCTTTTTTGCTCCCTTTAACTGGATAGAAATGAGAGTCCAAAATGCTCCAACCCATGTTTAGCCACTTAGAGACCTTTTCCCCCACTGTGCCCCATGTCTGGATCACTTATTCCCCCTCTGCTTAGTGTTGTTCTGTCTTTCTCTCTGCTGTATCTGAGGTCTCCAACCTATTTTTTCCTCTCTCATGATTTTTGCATTCATGCGTCTTCATTGCTTCTTAGCTCATTTCAAGTCCGGTTGAAACATATGCGCATGCACACAACACTTTGTCCTGCACATCCCGTCCAGGGCAAAAGAATGTGTTTTGAGATTGGTCCCTCAGTAAACAAGTTCTGAGGGCACAAGGGAGAAGGGGAGTATGATTTGTCCTAGAGCATCTGTGGGAGCTTTAATTGGCTGCTTGGAGTTGCCCAGAAAATCACTGCTATACAGGGTCTGAGACCAGTGTACGGGGGAAGACACCCGCACTTTTCCAAGAGCAGTTGAAGTGGCTACATAAATCAGTACACTTTGATCATTGTCACTTCCAGTGTCCCCAGTATTGTCCCACAGACTGAAACTAACCCTAACCTGTTAAAATGTCTCTTGATTTCTAGAAAGAAGATATAGTGGTGACACTTCTACCAGCTGGTCACTGCCCAGGATCAGTCATGTACGTGCTTTCGATAGATTCTGCATATTTTTAAATGTCCAAAACAGTTCTTTGTAGAAATAGATTCTATTTTTCTAGCTAGAAGAAATTAGTGAAGATTAATTGCTAATACTTATTTATTATTAATAGTATATGGTTGCACCCAAACACCCCCTTCAGGATTGGAGCAGCATTATGCTGTGTCAGATCTACAAACATAAAGAACTTTGCTTTTTCTACTGGTTATATGATATGTATATTCCTAGGAGCACGTTGCTTTGCAGTTGCTATGTTCTGGAACCATTTTTTTAGTAACAGATTTTTTTTCTGTGTGCGTTTTTGTCTTTTAGCAGATGCCCTTTAGGGTTTTGATTTGGAAAATATGGCCCTTAGGAAATCAATTGGGAACTTGGATCAGTTGGTTTCAATTACCTAGTTTTTATTTAAAATTTCATATTATGCTAGATAAAACGGTGGAAGCAGTTTCTGCATGCTGTCTCTTTCCTTCCCTTCCCTCAGAAAACCCCTTTGTTAACTGCTTCTGTAAACATTATTAATAGGGCCCTACCGAATTCATGGCCATGAAAAACGCGTCACATACCATGAAATCTGGTCTTTTGTGTGCTTTTACCCTTTACTATACAGATTTCACGGGGCCAGACCAGAATTTCTCAAATTGGGGGTCCTGATCCAAAAGGGAGTTGCAGGGGAGTCACAAGGTTATTTTACGGGGGTCGCAGTATTGGCACCCTTACTTCTGCACTGCCTGCAGAACTGGGTGGCTGGAGAGCAGTGGCTGCTGGCCGCGCATCCAGCTCTGAAGGCATCGCCCTGCGAGCAGCAATGCAGAAGTAAGGGTGGCAATATCATACCCCACCTTCAGAGCTGGGATCCCGGCCAGCAGCAGCCCCTCTCCAGATGCCCAGTTCTGAAGGCAGCAGCAGTAGCGCAGAAGTAAGGATAGCAGTACCGCAACCCTCCCTACAATAACCTTGCAACCCCCTCACAACTCCTTTTTTGGACAGGACCCTTACAATTACAATACTGTGAAATTTCAGGTTTAAATAGCTGAAATCATGACATTAACGATTTTTAAAATCCTATGGCTGTGAAATTTACCAAAATGGACCATGAATTTGGTAGGGCCCTAACTATTAAATCTGACTTTGAACATAAGCATGAAGTTATAGCCTCTCTATCAGGTTGGTCTGGAGGCAAGTGGAGGAAAAGTAATTTGTTCTGAGGGGTGGGAAAACAATGCAAAATTAGGAATCATCAGACATCAGTTTGACATGGCTTGAGTTGTAGGAGGGTTCCCTGCAAACAGCCAACTCCTGCTTCTGTTGAGGGCAGTGGGTTTTCATGGGCTTCGATGGGAACAGGATTGGGTCCAAAGAATGCCCAGCCCTGAGAGATGCTGAGCATTTGAGCTCCTTGTGATTTCAATGAGAGTTGGGGAATTCAGCACATCTTCAATCGAGGCCAAGATCTTTCTAGATTTTAAGGCCAGAAGGAACAATTAGGATCATCTAGTCTGACTCCTGCATAACACAGGCCACAGAATTCCACCCAGTAATTCTGCATCAGGCCCAGTAACTAGTTGGACTAGACCATGTCTTTCAGAAAGGCATCCAATCTTGATTTTTCAAGAGGTCAAGTGATGCAGACCATGTTACTTGGTGAATTGTTCCACTAGTTAATTACCTTCATGGTTAAAAATCTGTCTTATTTTCAATTTGAATTTCTATAGCTTCAGTTTACATAACTAGGTTCAGTGGCTGGGTCTGCGAGATGAAATAGCCCTCTAGCATCAGATCTATTGTCCCTAGTTAGGTTCTTCTAGACTCTGATCCTATATTAAGCTTCTTAAATCTTACTGCAAAGCACAGTTGACATCAGTGGTGTTTGCTTGGAAAAGGATGGGAAATTCTGGCTACTACTGAAAAAAAAAAAGATACTTTTAAACTGTTTGGTTTGTGCATGTGTATGTTCTCTAGTTTTTCCTTGTTACAAGATTTTTTATTTGTCCCAGTGAGGCGGAACACACTTTTTCCCACTCCAACAAAGAAATACCTTTCAGGACTGCAGTGGTATTTAAAAAAGCAATGCAAGAACTTAGTAAAATAAAGCATCCTCTGATGCAGTGTGATATTAAAATTAAACAACAAGTTCATTGTTAGCTTAGCTTCAATGGTAAATTTCTGGGACTGGTGGCTACAATATGCACCTGGGCCCAAATTCTACCCTTGCTATAAACCCCATAGTTTGCAGTTAGGTTGGACATGAGTGAAAGCAGACTTCGATTCACTGGGCCAAATTTAGTATTTCCGTAGTTCAGTTTCAGTGAAATTACTGCAAGGATAAATCTGGCCCATTACCTTTACTGCATCATGGGCTTTCTCTGAAACTCTGCATTTGCACAGATTTCTCCAAATGAAATGATCATCGAGCCCAACAATTGCAGTACTTTGTGTTACTGTAATTAACTAGTGTTTTTATTTCTAGGTTTTTGTTTCAAGGCCAAAATGGCACTGTACTTTATACT